TTTCTTTCTTTCTTTCTTTCTTTCTTTCTTTCTTTCTTTCTTTCTTCTTTCTTTCTTTCTTCTTTCTTTCTTTCGTTTTTCTTTCTCTTTGTTTCTGCACACCTGTGCTTTCAGAAGAAACTTTCAAGACCATCCAGTGCATCAGCTCCTGCACTTCACAATTCCTGCCTGCTTTCTCACACATAGTCTGATGTCTTTCTCACCACACCTCTGACTACAGGGCAGGGCATTTGGGATCATTGTTCCCATCGGAAAGATGAGGAAGCTGAGGCCCAGAAACATTAAAATAAGCAAACTGCCCTAGATCATATAGCAAATCAGTTCCAGAACTAGGGCTTCCAGAACCCAGGTGTCATGGCAAGGTGTGGATGGGTCAATCGACACCTTCCCAACTGTCCTGGGTGGGACACGCTGAGCACACTGGCCCTAGAGGTAAGGAACTAGGCTTCAGATCCAGACTGGCCAGAAATCTCAGGTCCTCCTCCTCTTATAAACTTGATGACTTTTTTTGGGTCAGCCTCTGCAGTTGAGCCTGATTTTTTGATCTGTATAATAGGTATAATGATACCCCAATATTGTAAGGAACGAGAGAGATGAAATACGTAAAGTGCTCATCACAGAATCACAAAGGGAAACTCGCCTCACTAATATTCTCCCAAGAGACAGTAAAACAGCCCAGGACACACAGACACATGGATAGGTAAATAGTTAACATTTACTGAGCATTTCATATGTGTCAGGAGCTCTTCTAAGTGCATTTAATCCTCACAAGGTCACCATGAGGTCAGACTGCTATTATGCCCATTTTATAGATGGGTAAACAAGTGGGTAATGGACTTGCCCAAGGTCATCACCCTAGTAAGTGATAAAATCAGGATTCAAACTCAGGCAGCCTATTCTCGAACCCCATGAATACTGCCTCCCTTAATGGTAATGATTAATTTTTAAAATCATAACTTGCTTGGACACAATATTCTATAGTTTAGGAAGCATTTTCCTATCTACTCTTGTATTTATTTCTCACCACAGCAGCCAGGGAGGGAGACGATGTTTATTCCTACTTCATAGAGAGGAGGGGGCAACCGAGGCTGTACAAGAGGGAATGACTTGCCTTGCCAAGGTCACACAACAAGGTCAGTGGCAGAAGTAGGGTTGGAATTTGGGATTCTCAGACTCCAAACTGGGAGGCCCTTCCCCAGCCTTACTCGGTTCCCAAGCCCCCTCAACAGCAAGCCTTCTGGAGGGAGGCTTGAGGCCTTCTCCCCGGGTAGGTTGTTCTGGCTGGGTTTCCTTCCACTCTTCAGTTGGAGGGGCCCAAGCCTGCATCCTCCACTCGCCTCTGACCCCCCACCTCTGCTCACTATCAGACGGGAGGGGCAGGAACTCCGGGGCTGGTGGAGTTTCCGACCAGGCAGGAAAAAGAACAAAGGAACTGCGTGGCGGGGAGAGGGTGGAGGAGATGGTCAGAAGAGTGGCAAGAGTGGAGGAGACGCTTCACCATGGAATATGAAGTCAAGAAAGGGAAAAAGGTAGGTGGGAGGTTGGGAGGGATGCAGGGGAAAGAAATGTCTGTGGAGCTGGTAAAGTGGGAGGCCTGGGGTGGGGGTGAGGGACAGTGAGTGGCATGGGTAGAGTCTTTCTTCTCATCAGAAAAGACTGTCCTTCCCACCCTTGGGCAGTCAGACATTTGGACTCAAGCTCCCTAACCTATCTCCCCACTCTCAAGCGGCGTCTGCCATCCCTGGAATGAATAGACAGACAGACAGGCACCTTCCGGGGAAACCCAGCCAGACAGATTGTTTTGGGAGATACTCCCAACCTGCTTCCATGGCTTTCCTGGGGGCTCCTCAGACCGAGAGACAAACACAGAACAGACCCATTCCTCTGCTCCTTACCTCCCCAGACAGAAGGAGCTCAGCCAGGGCAAGTCTGTGCTATAAGGCTGCCTATCCAGGTTGAGACACTTACCTGCTCCCCTGCTGGGTTCCAGCCTAGCCTGCCCCCTCCCCATCTTTATGCCAGAACAGCTCTGCTCCGAAGGCCTCAGCCTGAGGGTCATCCCCCTCACCCCACAGATCCTCACCCCTCCTTACTGTCAGTTTTCTAGTCTGGTTCCTTGGGCACCTCACCTGGTTGTCTTTGCCATTCAGGGGGTCCCTCAGATTCCAACTCCCACCACCACCCAGCTCTCTTCAAGAAACCAAGGTCAGGCTGGTCTAAAGGGCTCCCATGTGAATCATGAGGGCTCAGAAGGGAGTCAAGACATAGTGCTGCTTCTCTCTGGGTTTATCCCTTCTCTAGATATTTACTGAACCCTTATTATGTGCCAAGCATGGTGCCTGGTACTGGGGATGATGTAGTGGTGAGCAAAGTCAGACAAGGTCTCTGCTCCCTCCCTGGAGCTCACAGTCTAGTGGGGAAAGCAACTTTTAATTTTTTAAAAAAAAGCAGTGAATATAAAATTGCATAAGAGACTCCATACACAGTGCTGGGATATAGAATATTAGGAGGACCCAACCCTAGACTGGTCAGTTTGAGCTGAGATCTGATGGGTGAAAGAAAAGGGGGTAGGGAAGAGCATTTCAGGCAGAGGAACAGCATGTGCAAAAGCTCTGCAGTAGGAAGGAACAGAGAAAGTAGGGAGGACTGGAAAGATGGTCCTGTAGCTGGAGGGCAGGAGCGAGGGGCGGCGGGGGTGGGGGTGGGGGTGTGCGTAAAATGAGGCTGGAGACGTGGGCAGGGCTGGACCATTAAAGGCCACAGACAAAACATTTACCTCTCCACTCCATACACACACACACACACACACACACACACACACACACACTCACATACACAGAATCAAGTCCCAGCTCCATACACACTCACATACACAGAATCAAGTCCCAGCTCCATAGCTGGCATTCAGGCCCTCTATGGCTCATTCATCTCATCATTCAGCTGCAATAGACCACGTGTGCATCTTCCCCAGGCTCATGCTCAGCCAGCCCCAGGGATTTGCATGTACCATGCAAACCTGCCTGGAACACCCTTTCCCAGATCATTTGTTCTCATTTCTCAGAAGCTCCAAGATAGTGGTTTTAAAATATGAGCTGGGCCTGTATCAGAATCACCTGGAGTGCTTGTTAAAACATAGATCATTGGGTCTCACCCCCAAGCTCTGACCCAGTAGATCTAGGATGGAATGGGAGAATGTGCATTTCTCTTAAGTTCCTCAGTGCTGCCGCTGCTGACCCAGGAACCATACTCACTGAGAACTGCTCTAAAGTGGTGCTCACACTTTCCTGTGAGATTTAGATTCTGTTGGGCTGCACTGGAGCCTAGAACTGGCTTCTTGAATCTTGCTGTAGGCCATTTTTTGTGCAGGTGTCTGCTGGATTCTCCTTAAATGTACTAACTAGCCATTTCAAATTGGGGGGAAAGCACAGAGAATAGCGTGACAAATACCTGTGCACTCACCACTCAGCGACATTGAATCTTAATATTTTTCTTACTTGCCCCGGCCTAGACCCACTCCTTCAGTCTGGGCCTGGGCCTGGGCCTTAGCACGCCCTCCGCCCTCACCTGGGTGTTTATTTTATTTTATTTTATTTTATTTTTAAGGATTTTAATTATTTGACAGAGAGAGACACAGCGAGAGAGGGAACCTCTCTGAGGCTTAGTTTCTCCATCTGTAAAATGGGGATCACAGAGGTACCCCTTCTGCAGAGTCTATGAGAATTAAATTAGGTACTATGTAAGTAAGTACAGTGCCGAATGCAGAAATGCTCCATAAAGCCAGTTGCTGTTGTTACTGTTGTTTCCCCCCACATCTCCCTGCCTCCCCGCCACCCAGGGCTTTGTATCCCCCATCCGGAGGCTGGTGTTCCCCAAGGCTGGGCGCCGAGCTGCCTTTCGGACCAGTGTGAGTCGCCGGCCCCTGCACTCGATGCCCCTTTTCCCCCCTGACTACCTCATCGACCCTCAGATTCTGCTGTGTGACTATCTGGAGAAAGAGGTCAAGGTATGTGTAGAGTGAGGAGAAGGGTGGGCAGAATCTTGGGGTGGGGAATAAAGGAGGGGTAACGTCTTCCTTAACTCTCTTAGGGTCCCTGGCTGGGTCTGAAAATGAGGCCAACAAACACAGATGAACAGGAGAAAAGTGTGCACATTTTATTAAATGGTTACATGTCCATGAGAGCTTTCGCAAGGGAACGAAGACCCAAAGCAGTGACCAGAGCAGGAAGCTTTTATATCTTTTTGACACTAAATTTATGAAGAACTGACAAGGCAGAAGGGTTTGGGCTAGGGGAGTAAAAGGTGAAGAAATAACAAGGTGTGTTTATACAGCCTTTTCGGCCCTAAATTCCCTCTGTCTGGTGAGAAGGAGGTCTCCCTCCAGGTACAGGGAGGGTACTTTTCAGGTGGGAGACATATCTCCTGCTTTCGGGGGAAGAAGGGTGGGGGAAGGTCAGAGAAACCTTCCTGCTTCTACCATTTTCTTCAACTCCTTCAAGCTTAAGATATTCAGTATGCCAACGTGCCATATTTGGGGGTAGCGTGTTCTGGATCCCATCAGGAGAGACTGTACCTCTCTCTCACACCAAGCCCTGACCAGCCCAGTCTCACACAGGGGATGCTCAGGGGAAAGAGACCTGGGTTCAGGACAGCCTAGCTCCTGCCTTATGCTGTGGATCCTCAGCAAATGACCTCCACCCACTCAGTGTTTCCATTTCAACACGGGGCTCAAAACCTACTCACAGGAGAGAGCAGATGGGAAAAGCCACACCTTCCTGTAAGGTTTTACCACAGTAATGTTGTTGCTACTCAGACAGTGGATGAACTTGTTAAAAGAACCCAGTTCAGTAAGCCAGAGGGGACTGAGGTCACTCAAGGGTTTTACTACTGTTTCATAAGCATCATGAAGGAGCAAATGTGAATTTCAGAAAAGCAATGAGTACTTGTTTAGTATTAATATGTCCTAAATATTGCACGGGACTAAAAATACTTTTTTTTAATAAAGATCTTATTTATTTATTTCACAGAGAGAGATAGCGAGAGCAGGAACACAAGCAGGGGGAGTGGGAGAGGGAGAAGCAGGCTTCCTGCCAAGCAGGGAGCCTGATGCGGAGCTCGATCCCAGGACCCTGGGATCATGACCTGAGCCGAAGGCAGACGCTTAACGACTGAGCCACCCAGGTGCCCCCTAAAAATACTTAAAAATTTTTTTTAAAGTATTCACTGTTTATGTGAAATTCAAATTTAACTGGCATCCTGTATTTTACCATATATGGAGGGTAAAGCTAACTAATAAATCCACTTAAATATTGGGGACTGAAATTTCCATAGAGAATAAAAGAAGAACAAGGTCTGATTGGTGGACTTCACCTAGAAGAATTCCAAAACTAAAAATAAAGTTCATTTCTTACATTGAAGAACATTAAAGTTCAGGATAACATTAAGTTTTAACTAAAAATGAATGAAGAATTACTGTATTGATTTGGGGCATCATCTTTTGGGGTCTGGCTTCTGTGACCACCTTAATAGTTATTATCAGGTTATGATCAGTTCAGACATTGCTACTTCAGTCTATATTCACCGGGTCAGTGAGGAGTTCTGCGTTATCCAAGGCTTCAAGGTGACCTCTCTGTGCCCTTCTCCCACCCCTACCTCCCATTTCCTGTCCAGTTCCTGGGCCACCTCACCTGGGTTACCTCCTCACTGAACCCCTCCAGCCGCGACGAGCTCCTGCAGCTGCTGGACACGGCCAGGGTGAGGCCCTGGGGAGGGTTAGGGCTGGGTCTTTTCCTCTTCTTCCTCCCCCACCCGAGCCCCTCGGGGACCCAAGAGATCCGACTCCCCCGGCAGCAGTTGAAGGAGCTGCCGCTGAAGACCACAGCGGAGCAGGACAGCATCCTGAGCCTGTCGGCCCGCTGCCTGCTGCTCACCTGGCGCGACAATGAGGAGCTAATCTTGCGTATCCCCACGCACGAGATCGCCGCCGCCTCCTACCTGCAGGACGACGCGCTGCACCTGCTGGTGCTTAAGACCGGTACAGCGGGCGGGGCGGGGCCGGGGCCTGGGGCGGGGCCGGGGCAGGGCCGGGGGCAGGGCCGGGAGGTGAACGCGGAGAGAAGGGTCCCAGCGTCTAGTTTTGGGAAAGGAGTGACCTGGGGTGGGGAGGGGGTGGGTTGCTGAGGGTGGATGGTGTGTGATGGAAAAGGCCTAACCACGCTACCCTGAGACTAAGAGCAGGCCATGGCCATACGCAAGAAGACGCGGCCCCAGGTTGAGGTTGAGTTTGAAGGGTGGATAGCTTGCTTGATCCATCAGCCTGAGGCCAGGTAGCGGGGCTGGGAAGGCTGGAGGAGCCCAAATTCTGGGACCTGAAGTTAAAGCGCGTGGTGAAGCAGAGCAAGACAGCGGCGAACCGAGAGCTCGGGAGAGGGGCGGAGTCTGAGCCAGGGGCGTGGCCATATGCCGAGGAGGCGGAGCTCCTGGCTGGAGTTACGGAGGGACAGGTCAGACCGCAGGCAAGACTAGGGTGGAGCCCAGGCCGGGGGCGGGTCCCAAAAGTAAGGACAACGCGGGGGGGCGGATCTGGCCTCAAGACTTTGAAGGCCGAGGTGGGGCCAGGCGCCGCTGGTCCGCAGCTGGTCTCGGGAGGGGGCTCTTAGCCCGGATCTCCTGACCGCCGTCCCGCCTCTCCTAGGTCTGGGCGTGGACCCGGTGCCAGCCGGCGTAGACGCCAGCCCCGGCGGCGCAGGGCGCGACCCGGGCCCGCCGGGCGCGGCGCCCGAGAAGCGGCGGGGGGGCACCACGGAGCGGCGCCACACCATCTGCAGCCTGGACTGGCGGATGGCGTGGGGCGGGGGCGCGGGCGCAGAGGCCCGGGCCGGGGGCAGCGGCGGCGGCAGCCTGGAGCGCCAGCGCGCCGGGGCGCGGGCGTCGGGCAGCTGGGAGCGGCGGCAGACGTTCAGCGGCAGCTGGGAGCGGAGGCACACCGGCGGCGGCGGCGGCGGCGCGGGCAAGCCGGGCGGCAGCTGGGAGCGGAGGCAGGCGGGCGGCGGCGGCGGCGGAAGCTGGGAGCGGCGCCACCCGGGCTCCAACCCGCTCGACCCGCAGGACCCCAGCCCCGACGCCTACTGCAATCTTGTCATCCTGGCTGTGGCCAACAGGGTGAGCCCGAGGGCACCCGGAGCCCCTGCGCCCTGCCTCCTGGCCGCGTCCGGGGTTGGAGGGCGTCGCTCTCTATCCCACCCTGCTCCGTTCCTGGGGTCTTTCCTTCTCCCTCCTGAGGCCCTACCTAGGACTTCACGTACTACCTGTGTGTCAACGACGCCAAAGGGCTTCTAATCTCCAGCCTGGACACCTCCCTCTTGCCATCCCAATGGGATGGAAACTCAAAATAGCCCAAACAGACTGGATCTAACCCCTCCTCCAGCCCTGCTCTTTCTCCCACGTTGTCAATGTCCGCACTACCACAGTAACAATCATGAGGACACTCAATACCAGCACGAATGGAATGCCAACCCATGCCAGGCAAGGAACCAGCATTAACACATTTCGTTCTCTCACTAACCCCTAGAGGCAAACATTACAACCCTCCTCATTCTAGAGAGGAGGAAAGTGAGACCCAGAGGCTAAGTAACTTGTGGAAGGTCACACAGGAACCAGGTGGTGGTTTCAACACTGGGACCCAGGAAGTTCAAGCCTGTACTCTTGTTAACTATGGCAGTCATCCAAGGCAGAAGCCTTGCGTTCTTGCCTTTCCTCCCCTCCCCCCATTCTCCATATTCACCCTTGCTTTTATGCATTTAACGATCTTTATTGAGCATCAGCTTTGTCCTAGGCATTGGACTAAGTGCTATGGATGCAGAGATGAGCAAGAGATATTTGGTGCCCTCCCTTCGAGAGCTCACAATCTAGCAGACACCTTCAAGTCCTGAGTTGTCTAAACTTTTCCTCTGGCCCAGGGCCCCCAACCCCTCCCCCCACCCGGTAGTACCCTAGCGAACAAAACAGTCTCATGGCATTTAAAACACTGAGAACTCCAAGTGTTATCTCTCAGCAAATCTCCAGGCGTGTTTCTCCAATCGGCCTCTCCATACGGTGGGCTAATGACTATCTCAAACCTAACACATCCAAAGCTAAGCGCCCAATCTTCTCCCCCAAACCTGCTCTCCCTTGGTCTCCCTGTCTTGATTAATGACAGCTCTGTTCTTCCCTCGTTCAGATCAAAACCTGGCAGTGATCTGCGACACATCTTGCTCTCACACAACACATATCCATTCCGTCAACAAATCCTGTTGGCCTTATTTTTTTTAAAGATTTTATTTATTTATCTGAGCGAGAGAGAATGAGAGATAGAGAGCACGAGAGGGAAGAGGGTCAGACGGAGAAGCAGACTCCCTGCCGAGCAGGGAGCCCGATGTGGGACTCAATCCCGGGACTCCAGGATCATGACCTGAACCGAAGGCAGTCGCTTAACCAACTGAGCCACCCAGGTGCCCCGTGTTGGCCTTATTTTTAAAATATATCCCAAGCCTATGTACTTCTCCCCACCCTCCACTGTCCCCACCCAGGTCCACGCCCCATCTTCTATCATCCAGATCATGCATTTAGATCACAGATTGGGCTCTTGCTTATTACCTGATCCCCCCATGGTGAGAGCAGTCCCGTTAACACATAAGTGTCATCATATCATGGCTCAAAATCTTGCCATGGCTCCCCATTTCACTCAGAGTAAGAGTTAATGTCCTTACAACTGCTTATAAGGCCGCTCACCTTATAGTGGCGGCTGAAGCCCGTTTCCTCTCTGGCCTCATCTCTTTCTAGGTCCCCCTTTTTGCACTTCGTTCCAGCCAGACTGGTCTCCTTGTAGAGTGCAAGAGACCTGTGCATTCTGGATGGTTCACTACGGTATCTCTGACACCTAAAACAGTGCCTGGCACGTGATAAATACTGAATGAATGGATGAAGTGATGCATATCATGTTCCTATACCTTGGGGTGGGGACCAAGAAGAAAACAAACAGGTTGCAGTGATAATGAGGGAGGAGATCCATTTTCCATAGAGAAAGTGAGTTTGTGCCTTTTAAACTGAAATGTGAAGGGGAGGAAGGAGTCAGCAAGGCGAATTGGCGGGAAAATGAATTCCAAGCAGAGGGAACAGTGCGCCCTGTCTATCTCACTGGACTGTGAGGGCTTGAGGGTACAGACTTCATCTAATTCACCCCCGAGACCTCAGAGGCTGGCCCAGTGCCTAAAATAGGGCTCAATGAGAATTAGTCTTAGCCTGTGAAGAGTTGTTTTTCAGGAGTATCTGATTCTCTGGCCTCCCATCCAAGGCTTTCTTTTTTTTTTTTTTTAAAGATTTTATTTATTTATTTGAGAGAGAGAGAGAATGAGAGATAGAAAGCACGAGAGGGAAGAGGGTCAGAGGGAGAAGCAGACTCCCTGCTGAGCAGGAAGCCCGATGCGGGACTCGATCCCGGGACTCCAGGATCATGACCTGAGCCGAAGGCAGTCGCCCAACCAACTGAGCCACCCAGGCGCCCCCATCCAAGGCTTTCTAGTCCCAAGGAGGGTACAGGAGTTAGAATCAAAAAACCTGAGCGCCAATAGTAATTAATGCTAAGAACTTGCTGTGTGAGCTGGAAGAGTCACCTAGCCACTCTAAGCCTCAGTGCTTTTAACTATAAAAGAAGGATACTGTCTCCCCCGTCTGTTTTGTAGGGTTATTGTAAGGATCAATCCTGCCGCTCCTGGGTTACATTTTAATTCATACCCTGGGCTTTTTAGAGGCACAAAATAGGAAATGGTACCATGACGATGGGCTCATCAGAGGTTGTCTTTCTGGGTCTCTTGCTTAAAGACATAAAGAGGTAAATTAGAAAGGCAAATTCCTCTTCAAATTTGCAGTCTCGAGAAACTTTCACCCAAGAATTGAAATTCCTGCCTCCTATCAGAGACTGAAGTTTATGTATTCATCCTACTTCCATTTTTGCCCTGGGTGCCAGCAAGCTCATATCTAAATATGGCATCCAGTAGCAGTAACTATGTTGAGCCTAAAATTTTCATACATGTGATTCTTCCTCCTCCTAGTAGGTATCAGGAGTCCTGGGTTCTAGTCCTGACTTGTCTGAGCCTCACCTTCCTACCAGTAATTTAAACCAGGGCTTATTTTATCTTATTTTATTATTTATTTATTTATTTATTTATTTATTTATTTATTTATTTATTTTTAAGTAGGCTCCACACCCAGCATGGAGCCCAACATGGGGCTTGAACTCATGACTGTGAGATAGAGACCTGAGCTGAGATCAAGAGTTGGATGTGGGTGCCTGGGTGGCTCAGTTGGTTGGGCGACTGCCTTCGGCTCAGGTCATGATCCTCGAGTCCCGGGATCGAGTCCCGCATAGGGCTCCCTGCTCAGCAGGGAGTCTGCCTCTCCCTCTGACCCTCCCCCCTCTCATGCTTTCTCTCTCTCTCTCTCATGCTCTCTCTCTCAAATAAATAAATCTTTAAAAAATTAAAATTAAAATTAAAAAAAAAAGAGTTGGATGCTTAACCAACTGAGCCGCCCAGGTGCCCCTAGGGCTTATTTTAGATAAGCTTCAGAAGGTCCTATGAATCCCCTAGAAATCTGGGATGCATTTTTCAGAGCAGAAGACTTAGAGTTGCTGCTGGACTCTATCACAGAGTTCAAGATTCAGAGGATGGCCATAGAATTTTGATGGGGACTGCCCTCCGAATTGATTTAAAGGTGCCCATAGGTGCGTGTGTGGCCCTATGAGACTCCTCACACTGTTTAAGGGGCCAGGGGTGTCCTGGGCCCTGGAGAGGCCTGAGCGCTCTGTCCTCCTCCCTGGGGCCAGGATGCTGCCGAGGAGTCCTGTGCTCTCATCTGTCAGGTCTTCCAGATCATCTACGGGGACCAGAGCATTGAGTGCGTGGACCGGGCTGGCTACCACTACACGTCCACACCCGAGCGGCCGTGGCTCTGCAGCCGCAGTGAGTACTGGAACTCCTGGCTGCCCACCCCCCGCTGTGAAACATCCCAAAAGGCCGGGGAGGGGGGGCTGCCCCAGGACTCAGGGCCAATGAACACCTCTAGGGGTCCTGATCGCTACCACAATTACAGTGTCCTCCCCCAACCCTGCCACCCTTAGGTAGTTAAAATAAAATGTCAGTTTTCATGATGACCTCAAACTTAGCTTCTTCACAGATATTCTGGTTGCCAGATTCAGAGTGAGCCCCTCAAAGCTGAACTTTTTTCCCCACTTTCGTTTTTGATGTCCTTGCTTTGCAGAAATCCAAGCACATGCATTGTCTATTCACTGAGCTGTCTAGCTCCACTAGGAATCTAGGTCAAAACCAAGATTTCCAGACCCACTCTTGAATGCAATCAAGGGCTAGAATGAGAATGCGAACTAATAGAGGCATTTACTGAGCACCAACTATGTGCCAAGCACAGTACCAATGTGCCACATCTTATTTAATCCCCATAGCAACCTTGTCGGTCCATTTGCCACTGTATCCCCTGTGCCTAGCACTGGACTAGGGACACCACAGATGCTCAACAAGTGTTTTTTGAGTAGATGAAAGAACTCTCTGAAGCCTTATGATTCCAGTTTTACAGATGAGGACATTAATTAAGGCTCAGAGTAGTCAATAAATTGCTCAGGGTCTTACTCAGCGAGTAAGTGGGAGAGTTGGGATTCAAACCCAGGTGTGTCTGATTTTTAAAGCTTCTATCTGCCGCTACTCCCATGCTACTTTCGAGGCCACTAAGTGAATTTCCTCAGCCACAGCCCCCTCAATGTGCTCCCTGTTTGCATAGCTCCAGCAACAGAGCTCTTTCCTCCTGGAGGCACTCCCATCCGTGGGAACCGTGGTTACTGGGAAGTTGGGATGGTTCATCAACTCTCACAGGATGATGGGTAAATGAATGAGATAAGTCAACAAGTATTTCAACAAATTCACTCTATTCAACAAATATTTACTGAAGCACCTGCTATCAGCAGGATGTACTGGGGAGCAGAACCAGACGTTGCCCTGCTCTCACAAGGCTTGCTTTGCTCAGGTAGGCCCACTGTAATTACATAGTTACACAAGTAAAATGTAGCCACATGTTGTACTCTGAGAACACAGACTGAGGAACTGGCCTCACCTGTGAAGTCAGGGGGGTGTCTCGAGGAAGTGACACTGAGTGAGCCAAGATCAGAAGGGTAAGGCTAGTGGATTCAGAGAGGTAACGGGGCTAGGTAGAGAGCAAGTTCTCTGTAAATGGTGCTTCTATCCTCTCAAGATCTGGGGTTCTTTCCCTCAAAGTTCTTTTTTTTTTCCTTGCCTCAAACACAGTTTTAAAAACATTACCTCATCTGTTCCCTCACCTGCTATTCCCAAGACCCCCACGAGGCAGGCAGGAAGGTGGTATTCTCCCAACCTTGGGGAAGTTGAGGGCCAGGAGAGAGGAGGTGAGTTGCCCAAGGTTGGCTGTGTATTGGTGGTGGGGGTAGGAATCATGGTCAGAATCTTCCAGTGGCTGCCTAATTTCACTCAGGGTAAAAGCTAACACCTTTACGGTTGCCTACAAAGCCATCCATGCTCCAGCCACCATCCCAACCACAGGGAGGGGCTAAGGCTGGGGCCTCAGGGAGCTGGGGATATTGGTCCCTGGTCTGCTGCCTCTAACCGCCCCTCTGTCTCCTGACCCCAGGTGAGAGCTGCCGCACGGATGGGACTTACGCCTACGATGCCGACTTCAGCTGCTGCAGCTCCTTGTGGGTACCACCCTGCCCCCCTCCTACACCCCTGCACAAATACGGTCATTTTTCTGGGCATTCTTGAGCCCCCTGTGGGCAAGAGAGGGTGGCGAGAAGATACCCCACTTCGATTTGTGCTGATGCCCTGGACCCTGGTGGGGGGAGGGCGTAGGTAAACTGATCTCTGTGGGCTTCAGTGAGCTCAGAGGATCCAGACCCAGACTCTGACAGGCCCAGGGGAGAGCCAGAACTCAGAACTGGGCCCATGTAGGCCTGCAGTTCTCTGCTCATCATCCAGACACAGTGGCCAGCAGAGCCCAAACACAGCTAATACCAAAAAATAATTTTGGTTTACTTTAGTTTTAATTCCATGTAGAAAACCCTAAAAAAGGTAGAGCTTTAAACAAGATAGCTTTTTTCCACCTTGTCTCTTATATAAAATAGACCAGGAGTTTATGGCCTCATGGTCAGCAGGGGTCCAGGCTTCTCTTCTCCTCCACTCCTTGGCACTTGCTCCCATCCTCAATGTCACCTCATGGACCAAGATGATGGTCATAGCTCCAGTCATCGCAGTGGCCTGCCAGAGGGCTCGGTAAAGAGCTTTGCTGGGAGTCCCACCTCATGCCTCTGCTTGTGTTGCATTGGCCAGAACTTGGTCACATGGCCACCAGGAGCTGCCAGCAAGTCTGGGAGTGCCGCATTAACAAACTCACCTGGCAACATTGTCCAGGGTTCTGTTTAGTATGACCAACCCCTGCCCCCAGCACTGAGGGGGTTCCCAGGACATGGGAATTTCAGTGCAAACACCAGGGAAGTCCCAGGCAAACTGGGACAAGTGGGTCATGCTGGTTCTGTTAAGGCCTTAGACTTGACAGGTAGCAATCTCTGCCAGTAATATACGCCTTACTTTTTTTTTTCCTCTTTGGTGGCGATATATTCGCCTTCTTTTTTTTTTTTTAAAGATTTTATTTATTTATTTGAGAGAGAGAGAGAGAGAATGAGAGATAGAAAGCACGAGAGGGAAGAGGGTCAGAGGGTCAGAGGGAGAAGCAGACTCCCTGCTGAGCAGGAAGCCCGATGTGGGACTCGATCCCGGGACTCCAGGATCATGACCTGAGCCGAAGGCAGTCGCTTAACCAAC